TGTCCATCACAACAGAAAACAAGACAGGACTCAGAGCCAAACCTTGATGCAGTCTCACTTCAACCTTAAACTCCTCTGTCACATCTACAGCACACTTCACCACTGTCTTGCCTCTCCCATTCATTTCCTACTCTTCCCTAAAGGAATATCTACATTATCAGATTGACTCACACAAAACTACTAATTCTCTACAGACATCTTGCCATATGCTTTCACAAGATCTATAAAATCACATTGTAGCTATGCTGACCTCCACTGTGGGACACTAAATGCCTTTTCTAACTGCATGTCATCAGGATTGACTATCTTTCAATTCTTCATCTTTTTTAATGACTTCCTTACCTCATTCTTACATATCCCTGCTACTTCCTCATCCACATTGTTCAATCCTTCTGCTTTACGTTCTTTGTAATTTTCTCAACTTTTTAATGACTCCCCATGCCTGTTCTTTGGGTTCAATTTGCATGTTTACTGTCCACAGTCTTTGTTCGGGTTTTTTTCTTTTGAGTATTCAGTTTTACTTTGCTTGATGTTTTCTAGTTTTATTGGTTAAATTTCTATTTTGTTGTGTTTTTGGATATATTTGAGTTCTTATGCATTTATTTGTTGCCCTCTGTTCCCCTTTTGTGCTGGTCTCCTTTTCCCTAGCTCCTCTCTGGATTCCTCTCTTCACACCTGCTCCCAATCTGCTTGTTAGTCCTCTCTTTGTTCAGTCTACCATAAATACTCTCCTTGTGCAGTTCCTCAGTGCTGGTTCCTCGTCTTACTTCGTCTTACCTCATCTTACCCTGGCTCCTCATGATTGTTTTCCCCTGATCTCTCCATGGGTCTAGTTTATTTTACATTTTTCATGTTGGATTTTTGGATTCCTGCCTCAGTTGTTTGTGAACATTCAATCAAACCTTCAAGAAACTCACCTCTGCCTCCCTGCCTCTGCATTTGGGTCCTCTAACCTCAACCAAACCCTGACAGTTTACTAAGCCAAAATAAGGCTTTGTTTGGTTTACTCTATAAAGATTGGAACTCAAGGCTAATTCTGACATTTTTAATTGAAAAAGCTTCCTGGATGGAAAGCAAGATGTCTTCAAACTTGGAAAACAAAGTCCAGAGGATTGTTTTTTAACTTTTTTGGAAATTTGTAAGGAATTTCTTCAAGTTTTCCATCCCAATTATTAGACCTTTCAGTACCTTTCCATCTTCATCCTTAATCGCCTGATGAACATACTTCCAATGTCACTCTATGCCTTGCCAACCTGTACTTTATTTTTTCCCCCCTTAAAACTAAACATAGCAGCTAAAGGTATATTTCTCCACCTTAATTTTTTTCCAAGAATTTTGAAAACTCTTTTTTAAAAGAATTTAAAAAGCTATTGATAAATATAAGCCACTTTCTAAAAAGGAATAAGCAAGGATTTAGATAACAGAGAAAATATCAACACCTCCATAAATAGAAATTGATAAACGAAGGAACAGAATTAATTTATTCCACACAATCCAGTAAAATAGTTCATTACAAATTTCAAACGTATGGAAAATATATTATATAATTAATGATATATATGATTACATGGTATGAACAGTTCAGTGATTTATGTCTTAAAGGGGTATAAAGTAGTGAAACTCATTTAATCATATCCCTTCTTCTCTCCATAGCTCTAAACAACAATCTTCTGATTGAGTCCATAGTTTGCTAAAATGAATGTGTGACGGGGCAGCGCGGTCCCTCCCGCTGATACGCATGCACGCACACATACATACACAGAGAAATGCACGTGCGCACACACCCATTCACCTGCGAGTCCCTTCCCGTGTATGATAGTTACAGATCAATCGCTTTACTCACTTACATTTGCCTCTTGTGTGATGTGGCACGACCAAGGGTGCACACTTGGTGATGCTCATTAATCGGAACTCATACATTTACACTTAAACACATACACACGTTTGCACTTACCCTTGGAGCGTTGTTTGAGAGAAAGTGGGCGGGGCATTTTCAGGGTTTTTCTTTCCTGTTTGTTTTTCCTCATAAAGGAAGTCAGTGATTTCCGCTGGCCAATTTAATTGTATTTTTTTTAAGATAGTAACTTCAGAATGGAAACAGAAAATTATTATTATTTTTTTTTTTCTAGGAATAAATGTTTTTTATTTTTATTTATTTTTTTTCCCTTATTATTATTAAAACCAATACTCAATTGTTTGCTGATCTAATTGTAGGGCGGGGCTTAGGATTTATAAGGAGAGCTGCTGACCTTACTGAGTCAGTCTGGCCTGGTTACAGAGAAGGTAACATTGCTGTGCAGCACAAAAGGTATTTTTGTCTGAAATGATGTAAATACTACACTTGTTTCCATATTATTTGTTTTTTTTGCATTTTCCCCTGCCTCTCTGCTCTTATTTTTGGGAGGTGTGAAATAAATATGATAAACTGAAGACGTCGACATGCCCTCCATGATTTTTTTTCTCATGATTTTGGAGTCAAGTTGACCGTATCGAGGTCTAACACAGAGGCTGTTAGGAAGAACCCACGACAGAATGAAAATGCTAATTCACAAATAACAGAACAAACAAACTACAAAAGCACACATAGAAGAATTAAGTAATACTGCAGCCTCTTTCTTATTAAGTAAATAACTCAAGTGGTTTGAAACACAAATGAACACCTAAACCCAAGCCATCATTTATCATAATAATCATAATTTTTATTATTATCTTTTTGCAGTAGATATCTGTAGATTTAGATAATCAAGTGTAGATATTGAGTATGTTGCTTTCTTATTAGCTTTTTTTTTATCATAAGTTTTAACCTTTAGCAAAATTATGTATCTTAAATGAGGCCAAGACCATCAATAGCTGAAATGATAACATTCCATTAAATACTAACTATTTTATGCCACAAACACTCAAAAGAAATAAAAAAATATCTCTGGAGAATTTAGAAAAACAATAACTTGATTAAAAATTACTCTATTTGGATTGTTAGAATCCATTCCCAGCTGGATCATTCAGCAAGACAGATTACTTAGTCCTTATATAGTGGATCGCATGTGAATGCACCAGACCTAAAAACTGCAGGTATATATATATATATATATGCATACACATGTTGTATCTGAGGAAGAGGGAGGCCAACTCAAGACAGACTAATAGATTTAACAACTTCTTTAATACCTTTCATTCATAAGTATTCTTGTTTTTTTCCTTTTAATTTCTATAGTCACTGATTTATGTTAACTGAAAAGATAAAGCTGATTAAATCTGCATATAAGATGTATCTCTTTCCAATCAAATAAATGAATTAAATGAGCCAGCTGTGTGAAACAACTTTCTAGTCGTTTAATGATTTTTGTAGTAAATTGAGCAAAGTTTCCACCAGAAGGCTCAACATTATTAATGTCATAGAATGTTATGGAATTTAGTTTTCCAAGGTTCATAATGTCCATTTGATTGATCAAAACTTTCACAGCATTATTCAACGTGTCACAGCACAGTGTCAGTTTAAAAGTGCTTCATTTTTACACAGTTTCAGAAGACCATAGTGATATCTGTGCTCTATGATGGAAAGCAAAGCAGTTGCAATTATAGCGGTTTCATTAAACTCAAAGATGAGGGCATGTTATTGAGGGTTATGTTATTGTTGGTTTTTAATTTGTAGTAATTAATAGAATTAAGTCTGTTTGGGAAGTAGTTTGAAATGATATGAAATCTCCTGGAAAATATAATACAGGAGAGGAAACCTTTTCCTAAACCAAACACAAGAAGTTGTAGACACATGATTGCTAAACACTGTGATCTCACACGAGCAAATATATGCAAGTATTTTAATCATTCCTTATTTACATTCTTGTTCTCTTGCTCGCTGTCTGCTTTGCCGTTCCCTGCAGTGACTCGGTGTGTTATTTGGCACATTGTTTTTTATTTGGGGAATCCTGACATAACCATGACCCACTTATGAAAAAACATATTGCTTTCTGAACAGAAACTTCAGCTTTTTTTTACTGAGGATCTGCAGCTAAAAGGCTCGTGTTGTTCAGCGGCATGAGATCCTGTCAGATATAACGATGTATTTTGAAAGCATGAACCTGAATATGAGCTGTGGGGGAGCAGTTATTTATATTATAAAACAGCAAAAACTCTATTATTTTAAACTAGTAGAGGTCAGTTTTGTTGATGCTTGATGATATCACCTTTCAAATTTGCACAAGACCAAGCCTTTTGTGTGTATTTGGAACTTTTTTCCAAACCATTTATGCATGCTGCTAAATCTATCAATTTGAATGAGTGGGTTTTTGAAGAAATTGTCAGGCAGTTTCTGAATGTAATCAGGTTCACCCCGTGACGCTCCTTAAACCTACGATTTGTTTTTGACGACTTAAAAGCTTACAGAAAAATCTGGTTTTGTTAACTGTTATCTTGTTTGTTTAGTTTCACAGGGCCAATTTGTGGGTTTAAACAAAACCCACATTGAGGTGTATTTATTTGCTTTAATCAAACAGCCGCTAAACAACATCCCATAAAATCGAGTTTGGTCCCAGACTTCTAACCTTGATTTATTTGTTCTAACACAACATGAAAATTTGAAATTCTTTACCTGTTAGCATATTGTAGCCAACTGCTATTTTTCTCTCGGGTTACTGGATTAAGCTCAAAATATTAGAGTTAAAGCTCACAAATGTTCCATGTTTTGATGAGAAGCAGCAATGTAATCGGAATTTAACCTTTTTCCATAACAATAAAATGCCTTTATTGCATATTATTTGGCTAAATGCAACTTTATATATATAAATACTAATAGATCTAATACACTGTTTTGGTTAGTTTCTATTAGTTCCCCTTCTAGCAGATGGCACTGTACTTTTTGTCACCACTTTAGTCAAAACCACTTGCTGCCACAAAAAAAAGTCAAATGATAACATCTAATACAACTCAAGCAAATGCAATACAGATGTTTGTTAAGTTTTCTCTCTAAAGCAGCTCTTTCTATCTCACCTTGTTTCCCCCAGATTGATCACTACGCTCAGAGGGATTTGAAGAAGGGCCTGCAGCTTTTTGGGACTGAAGGCAATGTTGGTTTGACCAACGCCTGGATGATCGTACAAACTGATGTAAGATGTGAAATGTCTTTACTGAGTGCATGAGATTGTTGGGTGATAAAACACTTAAGTCATCCTGCATAAAATACTTGCAGACCATTCAATATTAAACTTGGCACCATTTAGCTACATAAACAAGAGACTTGCTGTCACAAGCTGAGATACTTGAAATTTTGTGTGCATTATTCATGTGACAACGGTTGTTTTTACTTCGTGACATTGTTTTAGTTTTGAGTAGTGACACACTGAAAAAACATTTTACAATGCATGTCCACATGGTGTGTATATTTATAGTATAATTTGACTAAACATCTAAAATCACACATCAGTGTTTAAATGCAAGTTTTTGAGTATAAAAAGGAGACTTTGATTAGTCATTTTAAAACTAATCCCACTGCTATTATCACGTCATTAACAATTCAGGTAAAAAAAGAAAATATTGATTTCTGCAACTACAAAAAAACTAGAAACTGTGTTTACATGGTTGCAAGGTGTTCACCACCTTAAACTAATGGAATAAACTGCAATAAAACACCTTTTAATATTGTTTTAATCCTCAGCCTTCATGAGTTCATGGCTGCAAACAGTTATAGTAATTGTGATTATTCTGAAGAAAAAAAAAAATTTGGCCATACTAATAAGAATTGCTTTGCATTTGCATGTTTTAGTTTCTGGGAAGATTGACAACAATTAAAAATTATATTTTATTGATAAAAATATGAATCAAGAGATTTTAAAAATAACACTGCATCATATGTCACTGTCACTAACCAACAGTAAATATGGGACAACAATGAATTAAAGAAACCAGACATTTCTCCATATCAATGAAAACATTTTGAACATGTGACAAGAAGGTCCTATATTAAAATTTCAAATGCATGTATGTTTGGGTCAAAAACAACACTGTGCATTGTCTAAAGGAGTCCATACCTATAGCTACAAATCTTGCCTTTGCTGTTTCAGTAGAAAATTTACAGATAATCTGGGATTTCATTTGTTAGGGTCACAGTGCCCTGATATAACTCAAAATCGATTGCAGAATTTGCTTAGAACAGAAAAATTAAAGCTTTCACTGGAAGGGGAGGGTATCAAGACATGTCTTTTGATCATAATTTGATAGTGCTCGAGAATTTTAGCTAGGTAGACTAACCAAATATTATCAAGTCAAGATAGGAGATGCTGATGGATCCATAATTACAAAGACTGCATCATTAAATTAAGTCAAACTGATTAACTTTTATATTCTTATACCTTTTTTTTTTCTTCCTCATATACTTGTTTGCTTCTTAACTATAATGAGAATGCCATTTTTTTCTTTGAAAAAGTCTAACAGGAGTGCACACTCTGAGAACCTCTGTACACATGTGAAAGTAGTTAGGCTTTTTGTGCTTTCATTATCTAAGAAGCCTGGTGAAAAGCAGGCAGGGAAAAATGACACAAACATTACAAAGCTAATCTCTGTTTCCAGCTCTAACTTTGATGTGCTTTTTCCATTGTGTTTTTTTTTTTTTATTCCTCTGCAATAACACACAATATGAGAAGCCTTGATTGGGAATTAAGGTGGATGCACCATGTAAAAGAAAAAACCCTCAGGGAGAATTCAAATGATAGATTGTGCACCTCAGGGCTCTTGGATACGTTGCTATGGTTTGTAGCTTTATTTCATTAACCAAGCTTCGGCTCTTTATTGTGTTCACACATGCAGTCAAGTCTCTGGTAGGTTTATTGTTTGTATTTTAGTTAGTGTATGCAGCGAATGTACAGACATACATTATGGTAGAGGAATCTATTGCTATGCAAATAAATGCAGGTCTGCATCGCTATGAGCGGATGATAACCTGCAGGGTTCTTCAGGATGAACAGAATTTACATGAACAAGCTATGGTTTGAAAGTGTAGATAACTGTCAGCATGTGCTTTTATCCTTGCAAGATCAGTGCAACTTTCTGCTGGAGAGGAAGACCATTAAAAGGCAGGTCTCATTCTGGTACTCCCTTCCTCCCAGACGTCTTTCATTCATGCTGAGTCACTGAATGAGTAATCAGACACATGTCCTCGGACCAAAGGACACCTTGAATAGCATTTTAAGCCACTCACAGGAAGTGTATTTACAGTTGAACTGATATTTACAAACACAGTATATCAAGTAGATGCATAACCTTTTTAATTTTTTGCTTGCACTCTGATATAAAACCTGACTTACCTTTTTCTGCTATAGGTTAATTAGGATTACCAAAGGTATTGCTTTGAAGCTGGCACTCTGAATTGGCTTAGAAGGAATCCTCTCAGACCGCAGTTTCCCAGCTTCCTTGTCTCCAACACCAGGTTTCGGTCCATTTGGATGAGTTGAAATTCTGCTCATCATCACAATTAGACATCCAGGACAGTAATGTTCTGATAAACAGCAAGACCTGCAGTCACCCTTGTATCCCTGATATTGGTATTGTGTAAGCAGGCTTCACTACACACCATTAGTGACAGAGCCAAGGCTTCCAGTAAAGCGGAGTGCGTGTGGCTGTTTTTACGAGTATTTAGGCCTATTAGAACAGAGACACCACTGCTATTTATATGCACTGCTCAACAGAAATATGACAGCTGTTTATATAAAGATTGTAACAATACCCAAAAGGGTTTTCATTGCAGCACTTTATGTACTGTAGCTCCTAACTCAATAGCAAATGTTGCAGTTAAGCATTTGAAGAGCGATTATTAAATAACATAAATCTCATTCAGATGGGCTTTTTATTGCAGCTGGTGTCTTTAACCACTGGAACTTAGTTTCAAAAGTTTGTGCAGCATGTCAAATGTCCAACTTAAGGGTGAAATGCACTAGATTGAGGATATATCAAAAAGTTAAAATCCATTATCAGAATTTTTAAGACTTGGCAAGCTAGTTCCACTTCTCTAACTGCAAGAGCTTAAAATACAGTATATTAAAAATAAAGACCCAGGGGAATACTCTTAAGCAGTTATCTTTTGTAACAGACAGAAAATGGATGAATGATAATATTTGAAGGAAGGCAACCTATTCTGTAAAACAGACAATAAAGAGGTGAGAAATGCAGCCAGATCAAACCCTAAGTGAGGCATCAAAACAGCAAAAGTGTCCTCCAAAAGGACTGAAGACAACCTTATATCAAGAAGACATAGCATTTGAAATTTTCAGGGGTAGCAAAGGTCCATCAACATCTGCAAATACGTTGCTAGTTTAAAAGCTTAACCAGTCTCTTACCTGATTTAAAAAATCCAAATGGAAACAGCTTTTCCAAAGCAAACCTTGCAGATCAGACATTTAACCTTCAGTCAGAGGAAGTTAAGAACTGTTAATGCCACAAATGCCCCTGGACTAGGTGGGATTGAGTGCTAGGTGCTATGAGATTGTGCTCGACAGCTGGCTACTGTAGGATCCTCAATGACACTTTTAATCTTTCACTATCACACACCATTGTACACCTGCTTCTTTTTAATCCTCAACCCTTATCCCAGTGCCAAAGCAGACAAACATCACTTCACTCAATGACTACAGCCTCTTACATCTGGAGTGCTCAAGTGTTTTGAAAGGCTGGTTCCAGGTCACCTTAAATCATCTCTGCCCCTCACTTGACCCTCACAAGTATTCATGCAATAAAGATACAGAGGATGCCAAAAACAAAGTCCTACACTTTGCGCTGACAAAAGAACTAAACACACTGTATGTGTTTCTCTGGTGTGAATAAGAAATGTAGAGATTTAAATGTGATTGGTTGGTGTTCTTTGAAGGAAATTTATTGAAAATCTTTTCATATGCGATATATATATATAATAAATCATTGATGATTCTTTGGATTTCGGTTTGGATGATGAATTCAAAATGGTTGATCATTTTGTTGTATGTTCAAATTTTTAAAAGTTAAGATACAAGTATATCATCTTTCTTCTATTTAACAGTACGGAGATTTTGCCCATGTAGAGGATGAACAGTCTAAATGGGTGTATAAGTTTAACTGTTTCAAAAAATTAACCATTCAAATCCTAATTTTAATCTGTTGGGCCAAAAAGTTTCTACCATCTGATTACAAAACGCGAAGATGAACTGTAATATTTTGTGACTGTGTAGAGCTGTCAGTTACTTTAAGCATGGAAGTTGGTAAACTAGCGACCCTATCGGCTAAAAGTTACACATTGTTGCCTTAAGTTATTTCAATATTTTTTATTATGCAACAGAAATTAGGTGTGTGATGTATAAAGGCTTTATGGACATATTTCCCCCTAATAAACTCAAATGTTGTGAATTAACCAGGAGTTTCCAACATCATGAAACCATCATCTGGGTCTTCCCCAAATTACATTTAGGCAAATAATACAAAGAGCTTCTGTCTTTAAAGTATAAAATTCTGTCTTTAAAGTATAAAAATCTCATTTAATCTTCTGCCATTTAGCAAATAATTATATGATTCTTCTGTAGGTTTTAAATAAATATCTGGGCTGTTGCCCTTGGTTTTTAAAGTTGGTTAAATCTAAATAACTTTATAAAGAGTCAGAATCCCAATATTTATTTTCAAGCTCAGCAGGGAACTTATGAATTTTAGCTCTGTTTTTTTGATAAATTGCTGAGCAATTCACCAAGTGGGTAAGCAAGTTCTAAATGAACACATCGTTGCAATTCTGTGCACGCTGTGCATTTGGGAATGGCTCTGACAGCAATACTCCTGGATCAGGGACACTTTATCATTTCACTGATGAAGTGCATTTTGTAGAAAGTCATGTCTTCTTATCAAAAATCTATAGTAATTACAAAGAGGAAGGATGTGGGAATAAGCAGGAGACAAGAAGGTTTTGAAAAATAATGCGGCAGCAGTAGGGGACTATGTCAGACGTGTTTTGCAAATAAATACATTAAAACAATTGTTTCATATTGTAGATAGGAGTTTAAAAATGTTGGAACCCACTCATTTTTCAGCTTGTTTGTTAAGATTCAGGAGGAATTTAGAGTAGTTATAATGATATCTCATACATCTTGATGCTGTTTATTCTGCAGTTTCGCTGCTGTGGAGTCACCAACCATACAGACTGGTTTGAGGTTTATAATGCCACTCGAGTGCCAGACTCTTGCTGCCTGGAGTACAGTGACAACTGTGGACTGGACAACCCAGGAACTTGGTGGACTGCTGTAAGTTGGGACAAAAAAATCTAAGTACTTATTTAAAATAAAATGCATTTTTTTTCTGTAACAGTATATAACGATTATAGTTTAGTTTTTTAGTTTTAACGATTATAGTTTTCTAATCTTAACCACATATGCCTCAGAGATATTCCCAGAAGGTCTATGTGCTTTTTTTCATCTGGGTCTTTATATACAAATTAACAGTAAGATAATGCAGTTTGAATTTTGAAATTAATTATGTTTAGGAATTGAGGTCACTGCTTAGTGGAGCAGCGGGTAGCACTGCTGCCTTACAGCAAGAAGATTCTTTCTGCATGGAATTTGCATGTTCTCCCTGGGCATGCATTAGTTCTCTCTGGGTACTCTGGCTTCCTCCCACAGTCCAAAAACATGACTCTCGGGTTAATTGGCTTCTCTAAATTCTTCTCAAGTGTGAGTGCGTGTGTTTGAATGGTTGTTTGTCCTGTTTGTCTTGCCCTGCGATGGACTGACGACCTGTCCAGGGTATACCCTGCCTCTCGCCCTGTAGACAGCTGGAGATGGGCACCAGCAGCTCTCGCGGTCCCCCTTGGGATAAGTATGACAGAAAATGGATGGATGGACTGTATAGGTATTGCTTTGGTAGAAATTTAATAAAGTTTAAACCAACTTTCGAGAGTTAGAAGAAATAAAATCCTCAAAGCTGGACAAAATATGCTTCGTGCTGTTTTTCGGCCACATATAGTTTATTAAGTTGGGAGTATCGACTCCACAAAGTTAGATTCCAGAGCAGTTTTTCAAAGTTTCATCACACACCTATTGAAAACCATGTGAGAGGTTTAAACACAGCACAACTGTCTCACAGCAATCTCATTGGTGTGTTGAAGTTGGTGTAACTAAACAACAGGCAGCAGTTCTTCCTGGTACTACATGCCACCCAATATTTGCAGGTTCACAGGACCAGACGATAATTTCATCCCTTACCAAAAAGGATTTTAAAATGTGTCTTCTACTTCTACATATTGAGCTTGGTCCATTCCACATGAGACCCCCTAGAGTTAACCAGGTCAAAGTCGCTTGAGGCAGAGTTGCGGGGAAGGATGGGGGATCTCAAGCTGCACCTGACCAGAGGCCACTCTCTATCCACCATCATAGAGTTCTTCAAACCAACTCACCACTGGATTTACTACAAATGTGCATGGATGGGGGTTCACCTAAAGGATATCAAGCTTGATATCATGTTGTCCACATGAATGAGCTTCCAGGATATTCACATAATTTTGAAAACAAAATGACTTTTTTGTTTACCTGTTCAATGGTGGCTCTTTCTGCCCACTGCCAGCTAACTCAGAAACAACTAATTTTCCTTATTTCTTGAATAAGCAAAATCCCTCATGTGAAACTCTAAATAGTATCAGGGCTGAAAGCCAATAAAACATACATGAGTTCTGCTTCCAGACAAACTTCTCTTTGATTGGTCATAGCATCATGCCCATGTTGCATTTACCAAAGCTGGGAGATTATACTACTTTGTATAATTTAATATCATAGGACGGATCAATAAATTTCTTATTTCCCAAGAGACAAAAAAAGATTGATTGATTATAATCATTATTGGCTAGAGCTGGTAATAATCATGCCAGGTTACGCCACTGGCTGAATCCCATTTTACCCTGTAATTCATGGACTCCAAAACTGGACTCCTACTTATTAGTGTACTTTTAATAGAATTGCTAGATGGAAGTGCAAAAAGTAAAAAAAAAAAAACTGTTTTTATGACATTCTGTTGTTACTTTAATATGAAAGCAATTATATGCTGTTTTCCTGACAAGATAATTTAACCTCGGTCCTATGGACCAAATAGAGAGATTATGTAAAAAGTATATGATGAAAAGCAGCAGCAGCCTATTTGAGTTGAAGAAGGAAAACAAAGTAAGACTGTAATGGATCTATATTGGTGGCTGGAGTCTAGCCAAAATAACAGTGACGTGTTTAAATTACTAAGCAATGAGTGTGGTCACAAGGATATAGTGGGTCAGTAGAAAAACCTGAAACTAAGCAGTCGACATGAATACCAGCATGGACGGGAATTAGGCTTTTTGTTCTCACTAAGCAAGGAGATTGACTTTCTCCCTGCTTTTCTTTATTCTATATTAATACAATACAGGAGCAATACTCCCAAAAAAAAAACTATTCCCAGCCTGCCTGACAGTGTTTGGCTAGGTCTGAAAATCTCTGTCTGAAAGAAAACTGAAGGTGTGAATTTTCTCATTCTACCAGTATATAGAGCAGCGCCACAATAGTAGCTGATATGCTCATTAAAATAGTTGAGACTGAGTATGTTAAACTAAAAGAAAAAAAAACTATCTGTCACAAGAAAAGCCTGGTGTTTTAAACAGCATGGTACATGGAGAGCATCTGCTTTCCCACCTATGAAACTCAGCTCATCCTCCCATTACCATTATGCCTCATATAAAGCAATACAAAACAATAACAATGAAACAATTGCACCATCAACTAGCAAACAGCACAAAGTTATGTAGCAGTAGCAAAACTCAAAAGAAGATAATCTAGTGCAGTGGTTTTAAATCCTGGTCCTCAAAGCTCAATGTTCTGCATTTTTTAGATTTTTCCCAGTTTTAACAGGCCGGATCCAGATGACTGCACTTCAGCAAAACCTGATAACATGCTTTCAATAGATATCAGCTGTGTGAAAGCTGGAAAACATCAAGCAGGGCAATGTGCGCTGAGGACAAGGGTTAGTTGTAGTATAATGAGACCGAAAGCTAAATGTTTTCACCTATATGTGGTTCTGCTCAAAGAGAAAAAAAGAGGACTGCACCACGAAGCAGGATTACTGGGTTAGCGAGGTCAATTCAGGTTTAACCCTGTCGTTCCGGTATATAGAAGTTGAATTCTTTTGTAGGGATATATATATATATATATATATATATATATATATATATATATATATATATATATATATATATATATATATATATATATATATATATATATATATAATAAATATATATATATATATATATTTATTTATTTTTCTTCTTGTTTGCTGTAACATCATATCATAAAAAATAAATAAATAAATAAATCCTATAATGAAATGGTTTGATCAACCTTATCTATCTGCTTCAATAACCCCAGCAAATTTCAAAGCTTAGTCAAAATGAAGAACTTCTTTAAGGTATGCATTCAAAAAAGTTTTCCACTGAGGTTTCAGTTATTTTTCAAATAACACGTTTCTCTAGATTAATGTAAAATAACACTTTATGTGCATTCACACCAAGTGCGTTTTGGGCATCAGAAATGCTTTAATCACGAAGCACTGGGTCAAACGCTGGTCAAGGTGCTTCGATGCTTCTATGCTGTGGTTGCTCTGCTCTCTGGTTGTTTATCTGCTCTGTTATGTGGCTACAAGCTCTAGAGCAGCTTGGCTTTATTTATTTTGATGAGTTATAAAACATATTTTTAACACATTTGAAGAGAGAAAGTTCACCTCCACACATCATCTGTGAAGTCAGTTTATCAGGATTATGATGTTATGGTGTCATATGCAGTTCTTGTTGGATGCAGTATACCCCATATAGCAACGGGCGAAAGCGCTGGGAATCCCCAAATGAAAGTGCTCTTAAGCCAGCCAGGCTGCCAGCTTATGTTTGGAGTGAATGGAAGTGAATATAATGTGTTTTGTAAGGTTTGTGGTTAGAAACTGCAATCACCAAAATATACAATAAAATTTTTGCCAGCAGGTTTTAAACATTTTTAGTTAATTTAGGTATTTATGAGTTATTTGCCAGAGTTCATTAAAGGGCATTCATAATGATCAGTGCTCATCTCTTTTCCTTGTACATAACAATCCATTCTTCTGTTTAAAAAACCTTTTTCATATGCAGACAGCTTTGCACAAGTGATCACAGATTGCATGTAGAGTCTGTCTCCTAAAAAAATCCTTAATAGCTTTACTGACTGGTTGCCGCTCAGTCTCAAGCTGCAAAAATTCAGATTTCTAAACAGCGTTAAACACTCGGACACCAGGATGCTCTGATGGTGAGACACCCAGATGGTTGGATGCACCACTCCCGATACTCAGATGCGCTGCAAGACCTCTCAACGCGGCTGTATGCCGTCCCCCACAGACTTTGCATGTAAATCATATGCTTTGACATCCAGAGCGAGTTTGAAGTGAACACACCTTTAAAATAATTGAAAATAAATGTGTGCTATATTTTTATGAAAAAGATTCAAAACCAGGAATTGTCTTCATCATCCATAATAATCTGTGATTTGTTCACAAAAAATATATCAGCTTAATATATTATGTGGCATTTAATGTGCAACATGTGTAGAATGGTCCAAAGTAATCCATTGAAGCTTAAATTCAGATTCATTATCATAAAGTGTTTATAACTGAAATAATTAATTTCAATATATTATATACTTTCAAAGTTTAATTTTTTTGTTTAAGACTAAATCAATTCATGAAACTGCTAACGTAAAAATAAAGAGAATGTTGGACATTCACTACACATTTTTTAAAACATTTTAGAGCCCCAGAAGCAAACAGCTGACCAGGAAATTCATATTCATTAATACTAATACTAATTTTGCTCAAAGTTCCCAGAAGGCCTGCTGCTGCTGCTGCAACAAGTGTTTTATTAAATAGACAATTAGCTTTAGCGATAATTCGTTTTAGGTAGTTTAACTGCACAGAGCGTTGTTCCACTTTTGATTCTTGTACAGTATGTTTAAAGAAACCCTAGAACACAAAGTGAGACACAAACACATGTAAAGGTCTTTGGACTGTTTCGCCTCTCTCTTCGATCGCTCATCAAGGGATCACAGTGATAATTAATTCTGGCCCGATACTGTGAGCCACTTTTCTACAGTAAAACCAGAGGAGGGAGATTAAAAAGTGACTGATCTAAAAAGGAGAGTTCCACAGTAGGATGCAGCAGCACAACTGTTTGAACAGAGGGTTCAGAGGATTAGAGCAAGCCCTGTCGTTTTTT